TGAGAAAAGTGATACTGTTCTTGGAACAAGATTTGTTGACAAAAAAATAAAATAAAATCTAATGTTAATAAATGAGAAAACCTCATCATTGCTCTGACATAGAAACATTAATTAGTGATTAGTAAATAAAATTATTTGAAAAAATATGATAAAATCTCTTTAAATTATGTAAATGGTATTTTGATTTTTCAAAAAGTCATAATTTTTTAAAATTTTTAAAAAATTTTTTATTATTAAAGAATTAATATAAATAATTAAATTACTCTTGAATCAAATATCAATTGTCATTTACAACTTTTGTTTTAAAATTCACAATTTTTTTTAAATTGTAAGAATTCAACAACAATTCACAAATATCATAAAAGAAACTTTATTTTTGTCAAAGTATTTTATATTATGAAACGCCAAATCTTTCTAAAAATATCTTATAATTTAGGGAGAATTACATTCAATCCTCTCTCAAGAAAATTAATCACAGATAAAGACAAATAACAAGTCTTATTTAAAAAAAAAGTCATATTTTTATTTTAATAACAACTCGTTTCGTATTGGTTCTTATTCGTGATTAATTCCCTTGGAAGAGGACTTGATGTGATTTTTTCTATAATTTAAGACAGATGATATTATTATTTATTTTATAACAAATTATTATTATTATTAACGTTTTAAGATATATTTGTTTTGATTTAATTGGCTAGAAATATATTAAATATATGTGCCTAATTACCTAAATGTGTTACCCTCAATAAAATGCCCAATTCATCGAGTTTCTCGCTTAATTGTCCTCAAAATTATTCGAGTAGTGCATATTTAAAACTGATTGTGTTCTATATATGTTGTCATCAAAATATTATTTTGCTAGAAAAAGAAACTAAATTTTAGTGATATATGATGCATTTAGTCCTTGTGGGAACGTAACTGATACATAATCTTTTTGGCAAAAGATTATAAATGGATGAAATAATATGATATGACCTGTCCATGTTTTAAGATGTGTTGGAAAGGGGTCTCAACTTTGTTGTTCCAGGATAAAAAGAATGATTCTCTTATTTCATGGCCAATATTGGTTGGCCAAACTTGAACAAATCATACAGAACTCAATGATATAATCTTGAGTAAATTGCATTCTTTTGACCTTGTCAATGGATTTTTTTTTTGAATTTTAGCATGAAATTATCACGATCCATCGATAATTATTTATATATAATTTGAAGTTTAATGATATGTTGAATTAAATAATCCTTCATATTTATCATTTACTTGAACCACTGAAAAAATCCAACGCGCGGCTAAAATATACTCAAATTTATCTAATTTTGTTTAGGAAAATTAATGTAGATGAATTTGTTTTTATTATTGTTCTGCCATCAGAGAAAAAAATTTATTATTAAATTTTTAAAAATGTAGTAGGCGATAATTGTTTTTACATGAATACTCGGTGATAGTATTTAAAAACTAAAAGACAACCAAGTACGCGGCGTGTTCATGGAGGAATTCAATGGGAACACAAATTCCGCTATCATCCTTGATACAGAGGTCAACTTCTGTCTTCTCTGGCGTATTCATTTACAACACGTTTTATTGATATTAAAAATAAATAAATCTCATAATTTTACCTAAAAATTTAATAAATTCTCAACATTATTTTTATTATATATATATAATATATATTTTTTAACATTTCATAAAAAATAAAATGGGAAGCTTGTAATAAAAATTTAATAATATAAATTATAAATAAAATTAAAAAAACTTTCTCTTTTCATCCTATAAATATAATTAAAAGTACCTTGCGGGACTCTTTTTTCTTTGATAAAAAGTGTACAATAAAATGATAAAAAAAGTTAAATAATAACAATACCTTTATGTGACTCAATCCAACAACAACAACAACAACAATAATAATAACTAGCGTACAAATGCTGGTCAAAAAATATAACTAACGTATAAATGCAACATGTTCTACATGCGCCACATTTCGTATTTTGATAGGGTCATGTCTCATGTGGAGGTCACGTACCCACGTGAATGGGGGAGAGGGTGTCTCTTCTACCCCTCTCTCCATTTCTCTCTCACCACTTTTGGATCAAAGTTTTCACAATTTAAATTTAATTTTTAATAAAATTATTATTTTAATTTTATACAAAGATGCATAAATAAATTTAAAACTATTAAATTTTAATTTAAATCATTTAAAATTATAATATTTTATTTATATATTTTATGTATAATAATAATAATTTTATCAAAAATTAAATTTAAAGTACTAAAAAGTTTTAATCCAACAATGATAAAAAAAGAAAAGGAGAAAAATAGAGAGAAAGAAAAAGGTGAGAGGCCCTCCCCATTGAATGAAACTACTTGAGATGAATCTGTCAAATTATTGTGGGATCCAATAAACATGATCTCAGTTCAAAAAAATGTGGCTCAAGTTTGAGATTAGAAATTTCTTTTACTTCAAACTTATTTAAATTGCTTGAATAAGTTTAAAGGGATTTGAATCAAACCCAAACAAGTTTATACTAAATATTTTAATTTTTTGTTATTAATAAAATAAAATTAACTTTCATTTTAATTGTTACTTTGCACTCATTAAGTGCTCTCATTTGTACATTTTACACTCTTAGATGAAGTTTTAATATTCTAGTAATTGTTACAAAAATTTTGTAAAAATATACTAATAAAAATAAGCATGATGTTATTTTATATACTTTCATGTTTACTCTTTTAATGTTTGCCCTCGCATTAATAAAGGTAGGAAAAAAAATGCGCTCCAGTGTTATATTTGGATAATTTCAACATTAAGGTTAAATTTAAATAGAATTGATAAAAAAAATTTCTTTATCAATTCAAATATTCAAACAAAGTCAAATAAGCCCAAAAATATGAGACTTAAGGATTGGGCTAAGTTATATAAACTTTTTACATGTTCAAATACTTTTAGACTTGATCCAAATAAATGTCTCCAACCTAAATCACTAATGCTACCTCTCTATGTTTGTAGAAGTAAAGAGAATTCTAACAATACTTAATGTTATACTCTCTTCGTTTAAAAATATAAATATTTTTTAAAGAATTGAATATTAAAAAATATAAGATATTTTTAATTTTTTAAAGTATAATTATTATTTTTTTAAAAAAATGCCCTTATTGAATAAATCAGTTTAATTTATTTTAAGGTCAAACACTATTTAATAAGAATAAATATAAAAAGATAAAGTTAATTTAAAAATCAATAATTACTTTATTAGAAGATAACATTTAATTAAAAATGTCTTACAATTTTAAAAGGAGAAAAATATATGAGGAGTGTAGTGAGGAAGGTGTGGACGATTTTAGTGACCCCTCCTACTTCCAAAACTAAAATGGAGAATCACAAGATTGCATTCTTGATTGCTAGATTCTCAAATCTTCAGTGCTAAACAACCTTGAACCACCCAATGTCAATGAAGTCAAACAAGGATCAAACCAACTCTGAACCACAGATTGTCTATAGAAGATTCCATACCCATTTCTTCAGTCTTCACCATCAAACCAACCTAGACCATTCAAAACTTGTCTGTTAATCACATGATCTGACAGATCCAGCTCTTCAAAACTGAAGGTATATACATTACAAGCAAGAACTAGTGATATAACTAGTAGCTAAAACTGAATGTCAGCACCAGAAGACCCAAAACTAATCAACCTCCAATGACAAAAGAAAAATGCGCGCACGCGTGTTTGGACTAATGAAATCAAATTCACTCAAATCAGAATCAATAATAAAAATAATAACACTAGCAATATGCATACATATAAATAATCATATATTCCATGATAAAACATACAATCTTCAATCATATATCATCACCATAATAATCATTCATTAGAAGTTCTTTAGATGCGGAGTCATCAGCAGCCAAATTAGGAGAATCTGAGCAGGAAGCAGCATGAGGAACATCATAAAATAAAGGTGGGAGGCTTTGGAATGTTCATATCATCATCACCTATTATAATTACAAAAATAACAATAGTTAATATTAATTTGTAATGCGTTAACATCATTATATAATAACAAAATGAAAATATAAACCTTCGTTATGCCTATCAAGAGGTGGTGGAATTACATTCTCTTCACACATCAGATTGTCACAATCTACATCATCAAACTCAAGAATTGAATCTTCTTCAGCTATCTAAAATTCAATTTTGTCAACCGACTCATAGTCAATGGGATTATAAGTTTTCTTCTTCAATTGTGACCTCTCAAGTAAAAAATGTAGTCAAACATAGTTTTCAAGTAACCCAAAACCAATTATAGCTACAATGAATCATAACTTCTTTTACTACCTATGTTGCAATCTCATGTTGTAATTCGTGAAAACCAGATCATTTAACCATTGATGGTATAATTTATTTCTTCTATTTTTGTGAACACGTTGAAATAAATTCCAGTTTCACTTACATCTTAAAGAAGATGAAGTTTGGCTAAGAATCCAAACAGCAAGTTGTTGTAATTTTAGAACATCACCCCCAAAATATGTCCACCATTCATCTGCATGAAAAATATATTTAGGCATATACTTATATTACAACTAATAACAATTCATCAAAATGAATGATAAACAATAATTAAAACTTACGAGGTGGTAATCCTTTTGCTACTTTACTGTATTTATCTCGAGCAAAACAACCATCATGATTACGGTACAAACACAATTGTTCCATCATCTCAACACTGTCACTTGAGTTGTTTGCCTCAAACAAATCAAGCACTGCATCCATGATCCTCCTCTTGTGACAAAACTCTTTATCATACATGAATACAGGATTCAAATAATATGCTGCTGCATGAAGATCAATCTTCAAGTGTTTGTCCCATCGAGCATTAATAATGCTTGTATATGGCTTATAAGTATCCTTATTTTTATTAAACAAGTTCTTTATTGCATCTTTTGCCCTTAGCATGCCTTCATAAACATAACCTAGAGAAGGTTTTTCATTAGCTTCTACAATTCTCAACAACCGAAGAAGGGACCCACAAGTATCACAATGTCATAGCAATCATCCCAAAATTTATTATCTAATACAATGGCATGAAACGCTTTTCTTGTAGCAGTCTTTGATAATTTATTATTTGTAAAGTATTTATCAGTAGCGAAAGCTTGCAAGTCAATCTTGTGCTCATATATACTCCTCAAAGTAATGAAGGTAGTAGAAAACTTGGTTTCTCCTGAAAGCACAATTTCCCCCCAACTCTCTCTTTTCTTAAGCCATGACAAGAATATTGCATGATTGTACACAAACATAGTAAGCTTTGATGCCTTGGATGCAAGGTCTGACACATAAGGCATACTTGCAATATCCTTCAAGATGAGATTCAAACAATTTGCAGCATAAGGTGACCAGTAAATATGTTTATATTTGTCATGAATCAACTTGCCACATGCTACATAATTAGTTGTATTATCAGTCACCACGTGAACAATGTTTTTAGGACCAATCCACTCAATTACTTCACGAAACAATGAAAACAATGTCTTGGCATCTTTAACCAAATCTGAAGCATCAACACACCTTACAAATACCATGCCTTTAGTAGAATAAACTAGAAAGTTTATTAAAGTATATTGTCTCACATCAGTCCAACCATCAACCATGAGTGTACAACCACTAGTCTCCCATCTATTTCGATGAGTCTCAATGAGTAGCTGGCATTCCTTTTTAAAATTCACCGATAAATTGACTAACATCATAGGCTATAGGAGCTTTAAATCCAGGTCCAATAGCAACAATTGCATCCATAGCTTTTTAAAAAAATGGACAATCTATTGCACTAAATGGAATGTTGTTGATATTAAACCATTGAGAAATGGCCATATTAGCTTTGAGCTGTGCTTCTTTACTTGATAAAACATTTTTGAAGCTTGGTTTAGAACTAGGAGTTATCCTTGGGGAACAATAATTGCTAACTCCCTTGAAAGCTTTTCTCTTGCCACAATTATGAGGAGTCACTATTCTAATGGGAGTTAGACTTAGATCAACATCAACCACTTCACATCCCTCTTCATCACCATAACATTCATGCATACCATCTAGTTTCTTTTTTCTTGATACCTCCTTTAGATTCTCTTTCATTTTGCAGCGTACATCACAAGGAACTTTTTCACAAGAAGTAATTTGACTAAAAACACCAGCAAGATGTTGCTTCATTTTGTTTATGCCACCTCCTTTATAGACAGTGGAACAATGAAGGCATGTATACACATTAGTCCTCCCTTCTTTTTTGAAGTAAATATGCTCCCATGCTGGATCAATCTTCCAACGAACAGATAACCCCCTCATTGATTGTTTTTATGATGTTATACTATTAGTACTACTACCAACAACAGTTTGATTATTGCTAGAGGGATCCTCCGTGTTTGTAACAACGCAAGTGTGTAGATATAAATTAAATTAAATTAATTAAAAAAAAATTAAAATTAATTATGATAAATAGTTAAGCATTTTAAAATTGAAGGGCAAGTATAATGAAGTGAATGGTAATTTGGTGAGAATACATCTGGGTCTCTATTGGCAGGTTTAGAGTTCAATATTGTTGATGCTAAAGAACTTATTTTTTTTCTAATATTATTAAAAAAAAAAGAAGAAGAAAAAGAAGAAAGAATATAATATTAATAAAAATCAATAACACACACAGTGGGCAGGAGGCATTAATTCTCATCCCTTTCCTTTCTTGCGCATTCTTGAAATTTCAGTTTGAGAGAGAGACGGAGCACGAGAGAAAATCATCCTTATTTCCCAATTTTATTCTTCTTCTTCCGATCGCTTTTGTTAGTTGCCAGTGATAGTGGTTTCTCTCTTCCTTGCTTCTTGCTGTCACTCTGCTCTTCTTCCTTTTTTGATCACTGCAGCTGCGTTGAAGGCTTCCCTTGCCAATTGATTCATGCTTGTTTGGTGGTTCAGCAATTGTTTCTCCATTTTCCTTTAGCTTGATTTGGTGTGGGTATGCTTGAAATCTCTCCTTATTTTTTTAGTGTGCTGTTGCCGCCCACCTATGTGTGTATGTTGCATGAGTTGTAAAATTTTATTTTTCTTCCTACTTATGTGTGATGCGTGAATTAGGAAGTAGGTAGAATTTTATTAAGCTGGAAATTTAATTTTAAAGATTATACTTTGTTGGGTAATTTCACTTGAGTTATTTTGATTATTATAAGAGGAAGAAGGTAGGTATAGGATCACTCTTTTCTTAAGCCTAAATTGATATCTGATGAGAAGTTTGAATTGTACTGTAGAATTGTGATATCGGAATTGTTGGGGTGAAAGATTTAAGGTTAAGAAGTTTAAATGGACTACTTTGGAAATTATGCATACTGGGTAAGAGAGAGAGTTTGTCCATTTAGTAGAAAATCTATTAAAATTTTATTATGTTTGGTAGGATTAGTAGAAGAAAAAAATTGATTGCAGTTGCAAGAAGAGAATTTTGGAAATAGGGTGACATATCAGGTAAGTAAATAACCTTCTCCAATAAAAAGAAGTGATGGTATTTCTTTTGCCTTATTCATTAATTCATTCATTTATTTATCTGTCTATGTTCATTATTCAAGTTTGATTATGTATGTATTTCCATGGTATTTTATTTTTTAAAAAAATTAATTAATTATTTTTTTATGCATGGACCGGACAAATGGTGGATGAAAAAGTTATTTATACTTCTCAAATTAAAAGGAAATTTTTGACCTATAAGGATTTTTGGATTTCACACATGACAAAATGTTTTATAGGACTGAATACAAAACACTGGTTGCTAATGCCAGTTTTGTTAGCCCTTGGCGGCCATGGCACACCCAGCTGGCAGGGTACATTAGAGGTGCTAGCCCCGTGTGTCGGCCAACACATGTGAAAAGGAGGATGCGATTTTGTGGATATAATCCACGTCTGTTATTCATGAGCTTTATGCTTGCGCCTGTTTTTTTTTTGTGACTTCTAATCATGCCAGATGTTATTTATCCTCGTGGACTGTGTGTTCAGGCTTGGTATTCGTTCTGTTTAGGTCCTAACAGAAAAGAAATCTTTCAAATTTTATTTTTTACCCTTTAGAATTGTATTTTTATGATTTGTTTTATATAAAGAATATATTCCTAACTTGATAATTACGATTCTCTATTCTCTTGTTCTATTTTGTTACTCAGTTACCAAGGATAAATTGTATGGAAATTTTCTAATACCATTGATAATTAAATTAACCTCTAATTTCCTATTATATATGTTTACGATTATCATTTTTATTTATTAAAATTATTTGGGGATGTTATTTACTGGAAGAATTTTTGGTATTCAGATAGCAGAAGTGGACTTGTTCTTCAATAGACCTCGTGGAACTCCTTAAGACAAGAAGTATTTTTGTTGCTCCATTGACATTGTGGATTAATGTAAATATTTAATTATTTGGTTTTGGCTCTAGAGTTGCTCCACGAATCCTATAGGTAGAATCCTTATTTAAAATATTCTAAATTATATGTATATATACTATATTGGAGTGGAACTTCAAATGCTGCTTGGATATTCTTTTGACAGGTTGCAGAAATTTCGGGTAGTTCAAGTTACAGGGGAGACTATGCTGAAATTTCTACAACAAGCTTAAATATTTTGTTAATACTAATAGTTATTTAATACAAATGACAATTTTACGATGAGATTGGGCAATTATTATGTTAGATATTTTATGGGTTTAGACTTATGGAATATGAGTTTTCTTGTATTCCAGCTAGTCACACTTTGAAAGATTAAGGTGTGACAATGTTCCTATTTAGACAATAAAATAAGGTAAATAACTTGAAATTCTTGACTAAAAAACATGATAAAACATTACCTATGAAGTTTTGGAACAAATTCCGCTGAGTTTACCGTAGAAGTTGAACCTCCTGAAATATTCAAACGATAAAACATTACTCATAGCAATGCAAATTAGGAAAAACACATTTAAAATGTATGCAGGTCCAAATTATCCATTGCTTAAGCTAAACAAAAATAACATCAAGTCTTATCTTACTCGGTAGAATTTCTTTAACTAAACATTTAAAAAAAATCCTATCAAACTGACACAGTGCTTAATCCTATCAAATTAACACAACAATTTAAAATATCACATCGCATCAAATTATCTTTCCATCAAATATCTTGCATGGTCATGCCCAAATTTCCATTTTCTGGGGAGAAAAGGGAATGGGCAAGAGAGAGAAAGGGAGAAAATCAAGGTTGCTACCTCTTTCCAATGAATAAGAAGCATGTTGTTTAGTCATTGAAGTCTTTTGTACTCCTCTGGTTGCAGGTGTTATCTCATGTTCAGTTATATCATTAAAAGCATCAAAACCAAGGTCTCTTGAGATGTCCATGTTTAATGCAATTGTATCATTCTCGTAATGGCACATCTCACAAATCCAATCATCAAGAACTTTTCGAACAAAAATTCGCCTGCAATTACTGCAACCAGAGAAAAAAGCATTAATTCAGAATGAGATCTATCCAGCCCCAAACAATCAATTCATGAAATCATTCAGCTGACCAAGACACATACAATCAATTATGTAGTAACATCTAGAAAATGGATTATACATGTCAACTATGAGATCTAGCCCTTTGACTCACTCTGAATAATTATTGCAAAATTAAAATGGAGAAAAGGATTTTCTTTAACAGCATAACAATAGCTGAACATCTAGCCAACTGAAAAAATTTGATGGATGAACGCACAGAGCAGGCTTATAAAGGAAGTGGCTAACTCAATTGTACTTCTGTTTCCCTAACAAATTGGGTATGTAAATTTAAAAGGACAAGATAAAAGAAAACCATGTATACATAAATCACTTGTGTCCAAAAATAGAAAGGGGCTAAGATGAGAAATCGAGACACATGTTCACGGGCTATGTTGCATTTGGTGCAAGTAGCAATTAATTCTGGCCAACCAACACCACCACATATATCACAAGGTTCAACCTGCAATGGAAATGAATGCACTAATTTTTAAAAAAATCAATTATACAGAAAAACCAAGCCCTCCTGATTCCTCTTTCTGAATAAGTAAAATTTCCTTTTGGATAAGTGAAGCCTCTCAGCCATAGATGTGAAAATTATCCACTTTACTATCATAGGTTAAAACTAATAGCTACAAAACATATATCACAAGGCGGCATATGAAAGTGTTATTTCTCATGTAAGTCATAAGCATACAACACATGATCCTGCTAGAAGAATTCAGAATGATACTATTTGTTCTATAGTTGTTCTTCTATAAAGTGACAACGCTGATATATTATACTTACAAAGAGACAACATATTTGCTGCAATGATTTGAAAAATATCCAAAGTCTTATCATTACTTTCTAGCAAACACACATTTCTGGTCCCTTACTTTTACATGAGATTTCACGTTTGTCCCTTAACTTCATTTGGTTATACTTTGGTCCTTTAACCTAAACTTGTGTTTCATTTTTATCCCTCAACTTCATTCAGCTTCAATTTGATCCATTAATTTTGCTTTATATATCACATTCATCCTTTAATTTTATTCGTTTCCAATTTGTTTCTTTAACTTTTACTATGTATATTCCTTTCCTTTTAACACCCTCAAATTAAAACGGTTAATAATCTTATAGCTTATTGGTAATTCCTTCAACTAAATTATCACCACCAACCAAGACATAAGTATTTTCTTTACAAAGAAAAAACCTAGTAGTATTAGAGATTAAGAAATAAAAATGAATGATTGTTGTAAGTTAAGGGACTGAATAAAAACAAAATAAAAATTAAAAGATCACAGTAAAATATGGGTTAAAAGAAAGTGATTGGTTTAGAAATAAAGTTATTATGAGATAAAAATAAGGGATTAAAGTGAAATAAAGGATCACTATATTAAAATGAAATAAAGGATCAAAGAAATAACATCAAAGAAAAATTTAAAGGATCAAATTGGAACAAAATGAAATAAAGGGATTAAAGTGGAAATTTTGACAAAGTTAAGAGATTAAAGTATATTTTAGCTAATTTTTCTTTGATGTTTCTCTTTTAAGGAAAGCACTACTGGAGCCACCCTGATAAGATTGTGCTTACAAATAACATGGTGAAAACAAATACCATCACTATATAATACTGATAAGGGACTTAAATGTCATGAATCTTTTCCTTTATAAGCTGTTAGCATTGCAATACCTGGCAGAAGTATGCTGCTTGTTTAATTCGTAAACCAACACTGAGCACGAGCAACCAATATGCACATGGACTATGCCTAGAGTTGAAGATGGGAAAATTCATACAAATATGTGTCTCAAAAACGCATGCAAAAACAC